ACGACAACTCCATCTGTCAAATTATATGTTTAGAATCATCCATGACAATTGTCCTACAAACTTTATGAACAAATTTAGTTACATATCAGGAGGTAGTAGGAGCGGTGAAAGCTGCAACCTATATGTTAATAGATCAACATCACATAAAAACTTTCAATACTTGGGGGCAAAATGTTGGAATAATGTTCCAACAGATCTACGAAATCTGCCCGATGTTAAAAGCTTTAGTGATTCGTATAAGAAACAGCTACTCTCATCTATAACAACAGACCCTAATTATACCGTCGACAATTCATATGACAAATTTTACACTGCAATCATAGTCGACGATAACTAAGCATCTTCTAATTCTTTTAAATCTGAGGCATATATAATTGATGTATCGAAAGGATTTTCCCTTTTTACCACCTTACCATTTTGATTGATTTTGCACATGACTGACATGTTTTAACTGGAGAAAGGGTTCGCACAGTGGTAGTTTTATAAACCACTTTTAATTTATTGACCTATTATACCTAGTGGTAGTTTTATAGACCACATTTAATTTATTTACTTCTTATACTTAGTATTTATTTTTGGTGACTGTATCACCCAGTTTTAACATTTGATAATTGTACAGTTTATTGACGACACATTGACTGAATGTTATTTTATATTCTAATTTATATTCTAGATATTTTATTCATTTTTCAACAGACGACAACTTCCTGGTTTTTCTTCTATATTAGTTACTCATATCTCTTTTACAGACTTTTTTACAAGGACATTGACAGATGATACTCACATTAGGCATTCATAATTGCATCTAAATTATTTCACTTGCATTAGGTTTAGAAATTTATTCTCTGGTTAACAGATTTCAAATGTTTAATTAATTTGTAGTATGACAGTAAGGTATATAAGAAGTTATTTAATTTTGCTTGGGCTATTATATTGACTATTGAGGTTTAATGATGATATGGAATTTGAATTCTATATAAATTTACACTATGTGGTTGGGGCATTTTGCATAGTAAATATGGTTACTACTCCTATATATCATATTATTTGATTGGTATTCGATTTCTGATTATTTCTCTAGGAATATGATTATTATATCTCAATTTGGCTTTAGGTAGGGTGCCCCGATAAAAGAACTGGATTCTTCCAGGAAGCATCCCGTGCACAGACCTTGGTCTACATATATATATTAAATTATTAACCATTCATTCTGTATGTGCACGAAAATTTATTTCAATCAATCAATTAAACGAAAAAGAAACATGATTTAAAATTTATAAACCATCAACTGAATTATCGCTTAAATTATAATAGGTATTAAAACAAAAACCATCAGGTGCCGTTATGCAGTAGGACATGGCTCACTGGGACCGCAGGAAATCGGCAAAAATGGGTTCGGAAAAGCCATTATTGGCACTCGAGTCCTTGATCTCGCTGATGGTGCACTGCGGCCTTTGGAGCTGCCGCCCTTCAGCTTCTGTCAACTGAAATAACTAATAATCCAAGTTGAGGCAATCAGCCTACGCACAGCTTTTATGGTTATCTATGATATGTACAATCTGTAATAAAGATCAAAATTCAAATTCGTATTCCCTAAATTTGGTATTCCCTATTGAAAGGGGCCTTGGTAGAAGTTTGTAAATAACCATAGTACATTTTTGTTACAGTGCAGACATCTGTAGAAACCTCTGAAGTTTCTTTGCCTCAAATCGAACTGTCATTGCCTCAAATCGAACTTTCATTGCCTCATTCGTGTCTTGTGCCATCCTCAGTGACCTTGAGAGATGGTCCTTCAAGAAAAGTTTAGTCAAAACAGTGAAATATGGGTCGCAGAAATCCAGAGGCGGCTCGTGGGAGCTGGCTGGCAGTTTTTTTGGGTGTCCTATCGTGAATCAACGGACTGGGATTATAAACATTTTTGTTTGTGTGTTTTGCGCTATGCATCTTTATACCTATTTTAGAAGAGATTTTTATAGAATATTAGAAGTGTAGTAGGGTCAGTTTCAGACGAATTAAGCATAAATATCATCATTGCCATGTCTGAAGTGGTTTGTAAATGGGCCATTGTTAGCCCCAAGCGTTTTGGTCCTTCATTCCTGCCACTCAGCATTGCCTACTGTAAAGTAGAAATTTTTCTAAGACAATAGAGAAACTGACCCTGTCTCACTAAATTCCCCTAAATTCAACCACTTACCATAATAAAAATGCTAACAACCAAATAAAGTTTTTTAAATAAAGAATATTTCCTCAAGTTTATGTCTAGCTAACTAATTAGTGGTTTAAGCTCTTATTCTATTTATGATTAAAGGAATGTAAAATAAAACTTTTCGTTTCATTGAAAACTTTTCGTTTCATTGACAGCAAACAAAAACAAAAACTTATAACATGGGTGAAACAGGACACCACACGTGTACGATCTCAGCTGCACAGTATCATAGCACTTAGCAGTCAATAGTTCAAATTGCGAGGTGTCCTGGACTACCAAATCATATAGATTACCTGTAGTGGGATGCGCTTGATGTGCTTTGTACCGTTTACAATTAACTATGTGTTAAAACTGCGCGGCTTAGTTGTCCAAACGAGGATTGGACACCCTACAACACAAAATTTCACAAAGATCATGTGTGCGCTTGCGCCTTACATTCGAACGTTTGAGTGAATAAAGAGCTTTATATCGCGATTAGATATTTCCGAATACTATTACTAATCACTATTTCTATTTTCAAGCACCAGCCACCAGATAATAATTTTAGGGCGTCCACGGACGCCTGGACGCCATCAATAGCCGCCTCTGCGGAAAGCTGAAATTTGAAAATGTCCTACCTATACCGCAAACTTTCGGTCAAGGGGACGGGACGGGACGGCAGAAAAGCTCGTCATCAAAATCTTAGGTTGGGTGGCAAAATGGCCCATGCTTTTAAGGAAGACATGGAGATGCTTGAAATGTTCGACAATGGATTGGATTATTCACTATACAGAGAAGAATGACAATCTTAAACTTCAAATGGAAATGATGCTGACGCTTGGGGAGGAAGACATGTATGATCTACCAACACCAACACCGTCTGACACATCTACCATTTCTTATCCCAATATTGTAAGTTTTACACAAAAAACGGGGGGGAAATCACCATTCACTAACTTATAGTTTCATTTCTTGGACAATCTGATAACTCAAGATATAAAAAAAAACAAAAACATGGAAACACGGGCTACACCCGAAGATATCTCTGACGAATCTACCAAGTCAACTAGGCTGCAAACTTTGCAAGGTTCTGAGACAACTGTTGCCATGTTTACCAAGAAATGGTGGAGAAGAATCGTTCGTGAAGAAACAAAGATAGAGAGAATTGCTAGAGAGGGCAAATGTCAGGTACTTGAAAAAATGATTATGGTGCCATGTGCAGATAGGTTATGAAAACCAACGACCCCAGACTGGAATCTTACCATATAGAAATCAATCTAGAAGTTTTGTTCCCACTGAATATCCCACTGCAAGTTTTAGCATTGAGTTCTGTGATGAACGAATCAGTGAGGTCAACAGCAGGAGTCATCAACACTGCGTGATAAAGGAAAGAATTGGCAATGCGTGAGGGTCCATGCCTGCGTCCCTGTTGCGATGGATTGACCGAAACATTAACGATATGCTGCAACAGCCTCTCAATATCACACTCATTCTCTCAAAAAGATTAACAAAAAAGGATAGATAGATTGGAGTGACTCTGGTCAGATGGCAGTATCGAAGAGGCTGAAAACTAGAGCCGCTGTTTCTGCCCCAGTGCCAGATCAAAGTGGGAGAATTTTGACAAGAGGTTGGAACTCAATAGGCTTATAGACATCAACCTTCACGGCACAAGTCATGGTCTGGTTCCCTCAACAAAATCCTCTTTTTGTTACAGTGACTTTAGAAGTAAAAAACAGGTTGGAACTTGTAGTTGCTCCCAACTCTATAAGAATGTAGGCCTGTACGCGGGCTCTTGTGAATTGGCTGTGCAAGCTTTACAAGAAATTGTGTCTGCCTGGGCACTGTGTCATAGTTGTGTAGATCTGATCGGGTGTTGTAGTGGATGCTGAAGTTATTCTTTCCCGCAGTCAGATTTTGAGTATCTGTACAGAGTGTCCTCTCACCTTCTCTCGGAACTTGCCTCAGGTTTGAATATAATCAAGTTTACGCTTTTTAGTTGTGCTATTCTATTATTAAAATACTTTTTTCATTCAAAATTAGTCTCACAGACCTTGCAAAATAACCTTGACATATTTCGCCTGCCCTTGTTTGGAAAAAAAATATATGGTTTTAAACAGGTACGAACCAAGAGACATGGAGCTTGATGTGGACACAAAGATGTCGATAACATTCGAAGGCATCAAGATTATGTGTTCACCCCCCCTCACCATCGGCAAACATCGATCTTACAAAACAAAAGTTACCAAAGGGTTACACAGAAGGACAGCTCTGCGGAGAAAGGGACTTGAAACATACAAAAAGTCTCAGAGGTGGTTCCGGTTTAGTTGTGGTGGTAGGTTGTTCCCCTGTGGGAATAAATGTAACGACGCGCAGGTCCCTGATGTCCCCTTGGTGCAAGCTAATCGTATGTTTGCGGGCTTGTGTGCATAAAGAGCAGCGTACGCGGCAGTGTAATATTGCATGGTGAGCTATGGGTTCGTTAAAATCACACCATTGGGAAGGAGGAAATGGGATGAGAGACAAGACTCGAAGGAACAACGACAGTCGAAAACATAATAACTCTAATTAAATTGAAAAACGGCAAGTTTCACAAAAAGATTAAGGAGGAGTGGGTCAACAAACGAAGAAGGAACAGGAAAACTGGTGGATATTAAAAATTAGCGTACGATGTATTGTTGTGTACTTTCTGGATCATAAAATTTAAATCTGTGTCATGAAGTTCAAATAGCTTTGCGACCATTCATGTTTTTTACGTCCATTGCTGTATTTTATACAACTTGTTCTTTGCTAAAACATTACTTGAACCAAAATTAGCATGAATAGCGATGCTTCTATGTTATTCTTGACTTATCCTTTCAATGATCTAACTGAAGCTCCGTTAGACCTTAGATTATCACAGGTAAAATTGTGAACTATTGAACAGTTTTTAAAGGATTACTCATTAATTAAAAACTATTTATATCCAACTAGTCCAGATCCTGCATAGACACAGGCCGCTGGTAGTACCTCCTTCTATATTTTTCATCATGAGACTGTCTAAACTGGACGGTTTAAGTCCACTAAAATCAAAAATTCTCCGAAGTTTGAAAAGTACGATTTTAAAATGACTGTCAATATTAACCGTTTATACCCAGGCTGCTGCTGCAAAAGTACAAGAAGTACGTGATGTCACCAGGATTGAACGTATCGGCGCTCACTCCCACATCCGTGGTCTCGGACTGGACGATGCGCTAGAGCCACGTAACGTTTCACAGGTAACGTAAATTGTATTGCTTTTAGTTTCTACTAGATATGGAACCTTGTATACTGAATTGTTGCCATTAAAAACCACGGCCTAATGATTTAATGATGCTACTGATCATCTCATGAAAACATCATGAAATTAAAATTTAATCGCGGTCTGGTCGGGTCAGCTAGCAGCTCGGCGCGCTGCAGGTGTAGTGTTGGAAATGATCAAGGAGGGTAAGATCGCTGGCAGAGCAGTTTTCATGGGGGTGTACTGGCATGGCAAAAAGGATAGCTTCCTTACTATGAGCTCCATACTTGTCCATAAAAGTGCATATATATATTGTTATATATTCCGCGGGTCTTTAATATCTACTGAATTACGACGCATGAATTATTGTGGGTCGTCTTTGACGATTCACGTAATGTATCAGAGTTTAAACCTACTTATCGTTAGTGTAGAGCGATGACAACTTAATGTCAGAAAGGTATTTAATCTATACTATGCATACCACTTGGGGAAACATATAGTGTACGTTAATTCAAGAACACATGGAAAATTAGAGCCCGCTCAATAACGCACCTGCTGTATCTCAATATCTCAATGTGCACGGTTTAGTGCTGAACATTACCATTGTTAGTGTCCCATTGTCAGCTTTCTACAACTAATTATAGGCAAGATTCATCAATATTACAGGGTGATGTCAGTGGTAGAGCAATGATGCAGATGAACGGTCCATGGTTCAACTCCGTGTGCGCCCTCTACTTTTGTGTTTTCTAAACTTTTCTGCCGTTAATATTTCTCACTACGGACAAGCATGCTACGGTGCTAGTAGTGCATTCCGCGAACTATCTTGCTCGACAACAAAGTTATGTATAATGTACATTGTATACATTCCATAACAGCAGTTAAATTGAGAGACAAGCAATGTACTTCCTAGATGAGTATTGAGTTGCTTTGGTTACTCATCAATTACTGACGTACTTAACGGAACAAAAAATTCGTCGTATTTATAAATTTAAATTTTATCAGCGATCGCGTGTATATAATATCAAAGAATTTAGATAACACAAGATTAGATGATGGAAACGATTAATATCCCAAGTGGCTTACGGTGCTCAGGATGAAATGACCGCATTTTTATTACAAATGATAAGACGGTATCGGGTATATGAAAGGTTTTAAATTTCTCTGAAGGAGCCAAACGAGTATAAGTATCAAACAATTAATTCGTTTCAGCGATTGCGATGGGAATGGCACAAGCGCTGGGAAGTGATACTCCATTTTATGGAATAGCAGGAAGTGAGGTCTTTCAAGGAGTCTGAGTAAAACTGAGGCTCTCACTCAGGCCTTTAGGAAGAGTATTGGAGTAAGAATCAAGGAGGAATCGGAGATCATTGAAGGAGAGGTACGCTCAAAACATTTTTGATAATTTACCTTAAATTTAGAATATATATGTAAATATTTTCGTAGTCTGTAAGTATTTTGTATTTGTGCAAACAATAAAATATATCAGCTCCATCACTATTTAAACGATAAAAGTGTTATCACCAGCAGTAACTTATCTAAATTCTAAATTATCCAGGTAGTGGAGATGCAGATAGACCGGCCAGCTACTGGCACGGGTCAGAAGGTCGGCAAGTTGACCCTCAAAACCACAGAAATGGAAACTATCTACGATCTTGGAGCCAAGATGATCGAGTCGCTCACCAAGGAGAAGGTTGGTTTCAGGATATTTTAACATTTTGCGGGTGTCATACATCAAATTAGTAACACTAACTTCTTCTTATGTGTTTTCCTATGATGGCGTTTCGGATATAGTGGGGACGTGAAAGATAGATTAAGCAGCGGGCAAGATATCCAAGTTAGGGCGATCATTCACGCGCGCTAAAGATTACGATGCAATGGGACCTCAGACGAAGTTCGGTCAGTGTCCAGAGGGGGAACTCCAAAAACGGAAGGTAGGAATTTACTGGGTTTTTTGTTTTCCAAAAGAATGTACTGTAAATATTAGTCTTTCCCGCATTATTACCTGCGTCATTCTCAAAATTACAATATGGTAGTGCAGTTGATTACCATTTATGAGTATTTCCGCTGAACACTCCCCCTGCACAGGAAGTAGTTCACACAGTCACACTACACGAGATAGATGTTATTAACAGCCGACAGCAAGGTTTCCTCGCCCTCTTCTCTGGTGATACTGGTGAAATCAAGTCTGAAGTCAGGGAACAGATCAACCAGAAGGTTTGTAAATTTTGATCTTCGTGTGAAGCTCAAATGTAACAGCGAGAATTGATTTTGTTTCTTTGGATACTTGTTTAACCTCGGTTATAGTTATTTCAATAAATATAGGGGGCATCAACCTCATAAATACCTATTATTCCCTCTGATTTCAAAATAGGTTTAGGTATTTATGTATATTTATGGTTATTTAAAGGTTTGGTCGTTTTTTCAGTATTTTTCCCACTTTTAATATAATATATTCAATTCTATTCAGTGTTAGCTGTTTTAAAGTGTTTTTACTGCACGAGGGGGTTGATAACAAGTTTTAAAACCAATTTTTTGGGGTTGGGAAAAATTGGATTTTTTGCCTTTGTGTGCCTTAGAACTTGGGTTGTATGGGGTTTTTAATTTGATCAAAGGATTATGAACAGTTCACTGTTCAGACTAAGAAAAGGTTGCTTATATAGAGAGATAGAAGTTTCTGAACATTTTGAACAACAATTGAAAATATTTCCAAAAACAATTTTAATCGAGAGTATAGAAGTAAAAATCTTGTCATGAAATTATCACCTACAATTTCAAAAAATCAATGTTGCTCACAATCTTCTGAAACGTCCAAAAAAGTAACTTTTAGCTACCCCAGAGATCTTTGGTAAAATACCTATAAATACCTATTATTCCTCCGATTTCAAAATAGGTATACCGTAAGTATTTATGTATATTTATGAAGTTATGAGGTTGACGCCCCCCCCCCCCCCCCCCCCCCCCCCCCCCCCCAATATAATTGAAAGTTATCTACGTTTAAACAATATTTAGGAAAATATTATCAACTCAGGTAGCAGAATGGCGAGAAGAAGGTAAAGCGGAGATTGTTCCAGGAGTTCTGTTCATTGACGAGGTACACATGCTTGACATAGAGTGTTTCTCATACCTCAACAGAGCCCTAGAGCACGACATGGCACCCGTCCTCATCATGGCTACTAACAGAGGTAATTTTAATCAATTTATTAGCTGAAACTAGTAAATAATTACGTAATTGATCTGTATTTATTCCTCTCAGAAATCACTTGGGTTTCTCTGAATCAAAATTGTTTTTCAAGAACTGTTGGGAGATGATTCTCTAAATATCTCCACTCAGGAATAACTAAAATCAGAGGAACAAACTACCAGTCTCCGCACGGTATCCCAATAGATCTGCTGGACAGGCTCCTGATTATCAGTACCAGTCCTTATACAGAACGAGATACAAAGCAGATATTATCAATCAGGTATAGTAAGCAGTTATTAAAATATATATATCATGACGTGAGGCAAGATATGTGTGGGGGTGGTTGAATTAGAGATATGTGTGGGGGTGGTTGAATTTTATTTATTTTTTAAAATTTTTTTAATTAGAGAAGAGGGAGTAAGTAGAAAAGTATACGGTAGTGCTTGCCAGCACTGTCATAATTAGGTGAGCTTGGGCAAATGTTGTCATTTTACCAATTTTTTATTGAAAGTTCCATTTTAACCATCCCAGATCAGATTAGTTTGTAATCTAACTGATTTTTGTTTACCAGATGTGAAGAGGAAGATGTTGAAATGGGCGATGATGCTATGCTCGTTTTGACCAAGATAGGTGAGTCGCCGAACCATGCGATAGCCTTGAGTTATAGCGGGGCGCGCTATCGCCGAATGCTCTTTAAATGTGTAAAGGCTTTATTTCGCCATTTTGTTATGAACCGCGCACGCCCTGCGCGCACTAAAATGTGCGTCAAACCACCGATATTATTGCTTTGTTCTTGAACGTTCCATAAAAAACTGCTTTTAACCTGGAAGATCGATCGCCAAGACCAAGGTCCAAGTGTATGCCCGTATTAAAGAAACTTTTTTTCAGGAATGGAGACGTCCCTTAGGTATGCCATTCAACTAATAACATGTGCTAGTCTGGTATGCCGCAAACGAAAGGGAACTGAGGTACGAATTAGTGAACTTGAGACTTCTGTTACAGAATAACAAACTAAATAGACAAATGTGCTATAATTTAGTCATTTTTGCCAAGTCTGTTCTTGAAGATATAATCTAGATTCATCACTTTACAGGTAGGCGTTGACGACATAAAGCGGGTATATTCTCTTTTCCTTGACGAGACACGATCATCTCAGTATCTCAAGGAGTACCATCAAGAGTTCATGTTCAACGAAATTAAAGACGAATCCAAGCCAATGGAACTCTCATCATAAGCCCAGATATAAAGAATGGCTTATTTGTCGGTCGCGGTTAATGTGAACTTTATTTGCAACAGCCCTTACCCTCCTCAACCTTCTCTGCAGCTCCATCCTTTTTGTATTGTTGCTTAACCAGGCTTTTCAGTGGTCAGTGGCCAAATTTATATCGGGCTGGCCCTTTTGCTGTTCAATGAGATCTTTTCATGACCGTGCAGTATATTTAAGTACAGAAGTGTTCTTTTTTAATTTGTAAATATTTTCATATTTATTTAAGTTTATGCCACTATCGATTGGAATTATTTGTCTATACACAAAACAAACAAAAATTACTATCTACGTGAAAAAATAATTTAACATTATGCACAATTTCTACAATTTAACATTTTTGATGGTGTCTTGGGTCTTGCAAAAAGTGAAGAGCAAAATTCTACTCAAAGCTACCGAAAATCTTTTTCTTGGAGCCTGATAATCATGACTCGCTACATTTCTGCAACTTAATGTTGTATTTAGTTGGCTCCATCAACCCACAAAGACTTCAATTCAGGGCCCTCGACATCTTCAAACTCTCCGAATTGATATTTCACGGCCATCCAGGGCTGACTTATTATCTCCACTTTGTGTAGACCGAGCTGAGGGGGTTACGTGTTAAGGTTTCTCTCAAATTGTAATAGTGGTTTGTTTGATAGTGGCTACTTGTTTGTGTAGGGGTCGTTCACATATATCACGTTATCACTTTTTTGCCAATTTTAAACCCCGGTCACCTCCGTAACCAGTTTTACACATTGTGTTAAAATTACACTAGCGTTATCATTTAGAATCTCCGAACGTAACATGTGAACGACCCTGTATGGGGTATTTGTGGCCGTTGATTTGTCATTTGTCAAAACAAAATATCATACTCACATTTTCGTTGTCTGAGCAGACTCTGGCGCTGACAAAACCATCTTGAGATTTTGCCTTGCAGTCCGAGTCGCTGGTCAGTCCGAGTCGCACAGTGATGATGAACTTTTGTCCAGCTACCACCTGAAGGTCAATACTCAATACTGCTATAATCTTGATTCGACCCTCTATATGCTAACAAAAGGATCGACAATCGAATAACTGGATACTTAAAACCATTCGTATATGATCAAGCCATCTGCACAAAAACGAACCTGAGTTTTGACATCGATCACGTCCCCGACGATCACTGAGTCGCTAGAGCCAAGTCTGCCACTCTTCAAAGCTCTTAGCTTGAACTCTCCCAGGGCTTGTTTTACCGCCTCTCTTGTTGCAGGTGAATGCAACTCTCCCTCGTAAATACCACCTGGGCTGGCATATGTGGAATGTTAGTTTTACTACTCTCTCAATTCTCAGTATTTTTCTGAAACTGGAACTGGTAGTCCAACTCTCAATGTTTTATCTATAAGCCTCACCAGTCGCCCTACAATTTATTGCCGAGTACTGAGGATCAAATTTTACTACTTTGTTACACAATAGATAATTTAAGCCCTTAAATGTACAAAATGGTGAGAATATTTGATAAAATACACCGTAAAAGAAACGCATATTGACTGTTCATGTTGAAAGCACTTACAGTCCCATGACGATTTCACGCTCGGCCAACTTGACCTCGCTGGCGACCAGCCCCATGAATAGAGAAAACAAAATCATCTGCTTCATCTTTCTATAGATTGGTTGACAACTCTCGCTATGAAAATGAAATAATTAGTTAAGTGCTGAGTGTGGTTTGGTTGACATATTGGGTTCACTTGATGCGCATTTAAGCTGGAGCTGATATATCCCGTGTATAAATACTTGTATAAAATCCATGCAGCAGAGTACAATTTTCAGTTTGTGTGCTATTTTCATCATACGGAAAATGGGGGGGGGGGGGGGGGGAGATCGGAGGAAACAATTTGCCCAAAAAACTGCGTAATATCGAGGCACTTTATGGTTATAGCGATGTACAGCAGCTGTACCAACTGAGGTAAAGACATGATCAATGATACAACTTAAATTCAGGATCTTATTACACTGATCTCAATCTCATGCACCGATGTGCATATAATTTTAAAACTACATGTGTTGGGAACTGGGAACTGGGAAGTCGTCAACTATAATGTATAGTGTATACTCAATACTGTATAGTTCAACTTTTATGTCTGTCTTCATTTAATTAATTATTATTTATAGTTGCGTTTTGGTTTTGGACAATGGACATGGAGTTAAATTGTGTCGCCTAATAAATAGTTAGAATCAGATTTACTTTTACTTCGATGCAAACACAAATATCACAAACACGGTCCCACTAAATCACTCACCAAGGCCGGATTTTTTATGTCGCCCTGAGTGTATGAAATAAACACAAATCGATGTATTTTCTGATTAATGCTGATATTAATGCTGATATTAGTAAATTGGTAAAACTAAAAGCCCACAAACAACTACAAGTCGTGTATCATCAAGTTGTTGAGAATAATATAATACTGCCAGACTATTGTTATAAGTTGTAAGTGCTAAACAAATAATAGCTTATGTCATGTGCACACAGCCATGTAATGTGTAGAAATTTCCAAACCCCATCCCCTCACGTAACTTAAAAGCGACCACTAAACGACAACTGTGCTTGACGTTCAGTTTATTGTGGGCAACAACGAGTAAACGTGAAACAGGCGACGACTAATAAACTAGACCGCCAACTCCAAACCAGAACTCGAACAATGCTTAACTGAGTTACTCCTTTATAAAATAAACCATAAGGACACGTGTACAGCTAGTCAGCTTATAAGACTGAAAGTCTTTGTTTTACTTTCACAATGGTCTAACAATGATGCCAGGTGCCATGGTAACTGTGAATTAAACATCACGTGACCTACAAAATGTCTCAGGAATGGCTGGCGACCAGGTTCTAATCCCGCACTATTGGCTCGATATAACATATAGGGTCTCAAATGGCCTTGTTAGCACCACTAGGATATAATTAAGTTTTACTTCAAACTTTACATCTGTGAAGTCTCAGAAGTCATACAATAGACCTTATAATAGAGTTTTTGACGGTACAGAGGTTTGAACTTGGATTAAAAGCATATTCTGTGTTCTATAAGTATAAACTAGGATACTGGCGACGAGGGGCGACTAATTCAAAATTCAAAATCTTACAGAAAAGCCCTTAATGCTTAAGGTTTGAAAGGTACTTCGTTGTGAAGTCAATCCCGATCAAAATAATCAATCCTGGGATTCGGGAATCCCGAGCAAAAAAATCCCGGGATTCCCGAAAATCGGGATTCCGGAAGCAAATGGCGGTCATGCTTTAGGTCCCATTGTGTAATAAAGTCAGTCCATGCTTGGACTCAACTTTTAATTTTATGTTGTACTTGTAGACTGTATTAAGTTCATTAGTACAATTAATTTAAAGTGGCCTCGGCCTCATCATCTCACAAGAAAATACCACAAGTGTCATCATCATTAGCCTTCTTTTCTCAAGTAGTACCTTAAAACTACATTTGCAAAAACAACTTGGGCCCATCTTATTACGGACTTTTGTATGCGTACTGCCAGCTGTTGACAAGGTACGTCCAGGCTCAATCGACCGGGACGGCCTCTTCCACTTATACCCTAGTTGGTAGAAATAACTCATCTCCATTTTAATAGAGATACGTGTTGGTACTTTGTTTTTGGCTGGCTTCAGGACTGCTGGATGAACCTTTTGTTTCGTCCAGAAACTCATATAGCGCTTTCTTTTTGTTTTTCTTAACCTTGACGATACAGGCTAACAGTCTCCGCGACGTTCGAAAATTTTATTAACGCTACCGTGTAACTATATTCAATATTGTAGTCAATTCGATAAAGTCATAATTAAGGAAAATAATTTAAACATAATTTGGGGAAAATAATGACGGTCACCTAAATTTTGGTAGTCCGAAAATATTTATATGGTTGATATAAATATTTGAAAAACCACCGACTTTCGTACCATTTAGATATGTCTCGTAAGGTATGTTATTAATATTAATATTATTAATATAATGCACCAGTCACCACCAAGAACAAATTATGAGACAAAGTATTGATATTCATGATTAAATCGGAAAAAAACAATTATATATCAAGTTTAGGAATTGTAAATGTTACTGTTAGGGCAGAACTCCCATGCGCTAAGTTTTTATATAATTTAACTCTTTTGTATAAGGCATAAATGATAATTTAAGATTAACAATTATTTCCATCTTAAACTTTCAGTTCAAATCAGAATGATCTATTTAGTGTAGTTTCGGTCAAATTTAAAAAATCAGCGACTAAGGGGGATCGTTCACATATTACGTAATCACTTTTTTGATAATTTGTAACCCCCCCCCCCTCTCCCCTCCGTAATCAGTTTTACACATGCTATATTGTCCAAAATTACACTATCGTAATCATTTGGAAACCTCCTTCCCCTCGGCTGATTACGTAATATGTGAAAGACCCCTAATATAATCATGAATTCATAAGTTCATAAGTTTTAATGTGATGATTGTTATCACGGGCGATTATCATCATTAGGCACCCATGGATAAGAAAAATCCAGGATAAGATCCTTCGTCATTTGATCCATCGCCCATTCCTAATCCAAATCCAGGATAAGATCCTTCGTCATTTGATCCATCACCCATTCCAATCCAAATCCAGGATAAGATTCTTCGTCATTTGATCCATCGCCCATTCCTAATCCAAAAGCCAGGATAAAAATTCTTCGTCATTTGATCATAACCCACGCCTAATCCAAATCCAGGATAAGTTCTTCGTCATTTAGATCCATCACCAATTCAATTCCCAAATTCCAGGATAAGATTCTTCGTCATTTGATCCATCACCCATTCCCAATCCAAATCCAGGATAAGATTCTTCGTCATTTGATCCATCACCCATTCCCAATCCAAATCCAGGATAAGATTCTTCGTCATTTGATCCATCGCCCATTCCTAATCCAAATCCAGGATAAAGATTCTTCGTCATTTGATCCATCACCCATTCCTAATCCAAATCCAGGATAAGATTCTTCGTCATTTGATCCATCGCCCATTCCTAATCCAAATCCAGGATAAGATTCTTCGTCATTTGATCCAATCGCCATTCCTATACAAAAAAGTTGTTTTTGGGGGGGGGGGATCCATCACGGTCATTGAGCGACAATCAGACGTTTAGACTCTTCACCATTTTCGTTATCATATCCATAATCTTGATTATCGTCAATATCTTGATTATCGTCAATATCTTGATTATCGTCAATATTTTGATTATCGTCAATATCCTGATTATCGTCAATATCGTCTTGGTCTTTTTCGGGCGTCCAGGGTTGATCATCATAATCTTCTTCTCCTTCATCCCAATAAAGCTTCTTGGAAGGGCTACCTTGACTATCGTCATAATCAAACCACCTCCATGGCACTTTAGACCAAGTTTGATAAACTACTGATAACGTCCCCACTCCCATCTGCAGATAGATAACAAGTTAGAATATTCAATCCGTTTCAATTTTATCCTATGTACTGTATACAAATTAAAAACTCTCGCGACTTTAATTATGAATTATAAGAGAAAAATCTTACATAAGATGCTCAACAAATTATTCTTTTTTTTTTTTTTTTGTTTTTTGAGAGGCGGGGCCATGATGCCCACGAGGGATTGGCATTGAGATGCTCTGCCCTACCTCTGGGGTGTGGCACCCTTGGGAAGGTTGCGGTGAGATCCCGGAGTGATTGATGGAGGGTGGTGTTAGGATGTTATATGAGTCAAAATGGATACGCTCTCTAAATGCCAGCTGGGTTTGGAGGAGTAAAACGAGACGAGACAGCATATGAGATAATACTTTAAGTCACCCCGGTCTGATCCAGCTCTTCCGGCACAATTAAGCGTTTGGTGCGGTTTGTGAAATTGACAATTGTGGTGATGTGTTGGTTGTCGAATATGTCGTTGACAGAGAGGTAGTAGTCCTGGAAATATTGACCTCTAATTTGGGCAATAGCCGGACACTGTCCAAGGAAGTGTGAGACAGTTTCCTCTCCGTCCCCGCACATAGGACAAGCACTGGTGTTTGATTTGCAAATGGTGTGAAGGTGTTTATTTAGGCCGCAGTGACCCGTGATGAGGTGAACTGCAGTTCTGTAATCTTGTCTGTTGTTGCTGAGTGTAGTGTTGAGGTTTTTGATGATTTTGGCATGCTTGTGGCCGAGTGTCAGTTTGGTGTGTCTGGGACCGTCAGTTGACCAAGTTTCCTGATTCAGTCTGTTGACTTTGTTGTCGATTTGACGCTTGATGTAGGATTGTGGAATTGGACACCTCAAAGTGGATTCGCTGATAGTGCCAAGCTTGGCCAGCTCATCTGCTTTTTCGTTCCCCCACAATCCGATGTGTGCGGCAATCCATCGTATATCTAGCGTGTTGTTGGATCCGAGTGAATTAAGAGAGTCGTAACAGTCTCTTGTAGTTCTACTCCGCGTTGAAAGTGCGGAGAGAGCTTGAATAGATGATAGACTGTCAGACCAGTTATTATTCTACAATGTTGCAAAATTATAGAAATCCAACTTGTAATAAATTGTAATTTAGAATCGGTCAAATTTAAAACCACATGACAATTACGTATACTAAATTAATATTTTTATTCCACTTCAAATTATGCTTAAGTTAACTCACACTTTCGGTATCATCACAGATTCTGCTGGTTACTACACCATTAACC